TTTTGCTGGAGTTGATATGGAGGTCATTCTCACTCAAATCACCAGAGAGACATTCACAAGACAGCTTTCAGACAGGCAATAGTTCATTCTTAAAACAAAGGACCGAAGGGCTGGAGATCTAACTACAGAATTCAGTTCTGGGCTTGTTCCTATTTCTCTTCTTAATGTGACATTGACATATTATTGGCATCCTGGAGTTTATTATTAGGACATTCAAACTCACTGAAAACCATTATCTCTTTTCTTTCCCTGCTTTGATGTGAGAAAATTTTGTTAATCATGAGAGTTGTTATTGTAGTGTAGGAATTAAAACATGTTAGAGGGAAGAGATGACCTTCACTTTGTAACACATCTTGGCATTATCTCCTAAAGCTGAACAGGACTAAAGTTAATATTCTTAATCCTGATCAGTATATTATTGGTCCCATGAATATTTTCAGTATTTGAAGATTCAGTAAGCCTTCATACAGTTTTATTATGTTTTCTGAAATTTCTATTACACTTCAGTAACAAAAAATATCAAAATACACTAAATTTCCTCCTAGTTGGATACTAAACAAGATATCAGTGACTCAGCAATTTAGAATTGTCTGGGTGGTAATGGCACATGCCTTTAATCCCAGCACTTGGGAGACCTTTGTGAGTTCAAGGCCAGACTGATCTACAGAGAAAGTTACACAGTCAGGGCTACCCAAAGAAAGTCCAACTCAAAAAATAATATATATATATCTTGCAGTTTGTGTGATTCTGATATCCAGGCTCAAAGTATTGGTAGATTTTATGGGTACAAGGGCTTCCTTCTTCAAAGGTAGCACATTTACACTTTGCCCTTATGTGGGAGGGGGGTTAAAGGCTCTCTCAGATGTCTTCTTTTAAGAGCATTAATCCTATGAATACTGGCTCAGGTTTTGTGGCCTAATCACATCCCAAAGACCCTACCTAAGATCACTTTGGCCATTAGGGTACCAACACACATACTTTAAGGAGACATGAACAGTAACAAATGAACAAGACTTTGGATAGAGGGTACCTGAATCATGCTCACATTCTTCTGCACAGACTATCTAGTTAGCCTTTTACTGAGACAGAGGAAAAAGCTAATATGGATTACCTTTGCCGTTACTATTACTTACTTTTTCCTAAAACATAACCAAACTTGATCTAGCATTCAATTATACTTGCTTATCAGAACATTCTAAATACTCAAACATATGAGTAAAATATATACCCTTGGCAGTGGGATTTTCTCTCAGTGATTTTGAATCTTCTGGGCTTGCATTTCTATTGTTCATACACTGTGCCTTCTGCATTTAAATCCTAACTGCTCTAGCTACATTCACTGAAATAATCATCTTGTAGTATTACCTGTGCTGAATCCAAGCACAAAACCTCCAAAAATTTAACTGCTGTGACTCTTATATTGCTACTCTGTCAGGCATGCACATTTTTCAGATGCTATTTAAATCTTCAAAACACTCTAGCATTATGTAAATAAAATTTTTAAAGTTATCAGTATTTCTGAAGGGGAATCTTCTGTTGTAAGTACGCATGCAATAGACATATCATCACTTGCTTCCATTTATTCAGTCAGTACAGCAGTGGTGAAAAAATGGGCACAGCTGTACATGCCCGTGCATGGCTGTACAGTCCCAGGAAGTGAGAAGTAGTGGCAGCAAATCAAGGTTATTTTCAACTACAATTAAGTTCCATCTCAACCTATATGTGTTAGGTTAGCTAGAGTTCTCTAGAGGTGCACTGTGTATAAAATGAATACATAAAGGGGATTTACTAGAGTGTCTCATGGGCTGTGGTCTGGGTAGTTTAACAGTGACTCTCTCTTAACAGAAAGGCCAAGAATCAAGAAGTGCTTCAATCCATGAAGTCATAGCTGGTCTTTAGTCTGTGTTGGAATCCTGAAGTAGGTTCTAACAGTAGCAAAGTAATGCCTCAGCAGCAGGATAGATTAACTTGTCAGAGAGAGGGTAAGCAGTACAAAAAGTCCTTCTTCTATGTCCTTTTATGTAGGCTGCCACAAGATGTTGTCCATAATTAGGGTGGGTCTCCTGACCTCAAATGATTTACTGGCATTCTTTGGGGCCCTGGGCAACAGATCAGTATTTATCTCTGGCACTCAGGTGGACTTTTGGAGACCATTCTATGGGGAGGGATGCTGTCTCAGACTGGACACATGGGGGAGAGCCTAGTCCGTACGCTGGATGATATGACAGATTTTGGAGTTCCCCCATGAAGGGTCTCATCCTCCCTGGAGAGTAGAGTGGGAACTGGGTGGGGGGCTGGGGGGGGCTGAAGGGGAGCAGGGGAGGGAGCAGAAGCACAGATTGACATGTGAAGCAAGCTTGTTTCTAATTTAAATAAAACAAATACAAAAAAGAAAAATTCTTCACAGCTGCTTTAGTTTTAGTTGATTCCAAATATAGTTAGGTTGGTAGTCAAGATTCAGCATCATACTGGCTAATATGAAAAATCTCAAAACACAGAAATGTTGGGTGGAATATGTAAGAAAGTTATTACTTAATTTAACTCTACATAATCCAGTTGCTCTGCAGCAGTGCTGAGACTGTTTGGCTAGTACTATCCATGGATCCTTGACATAGTTTTGTGTCATTCAAGCAGACTAGGACCAAGGGAAGCAGGGCTGTAGTTTGTCTACTACATCTGCTGCTCAAGCTAGCTTCCCACTTTTAGTCTTCACATTCCATAGCCTTCATGTTTCCTCTGATCTTCAATCTAGCACTTTCTCCCCAATAGCTGCTTACTCTTTTTCTTCACATTTGTGGAAGTTTATCATGTCTAACTTAGTAGTAGAGCATGCATGAGTTCCAGGGTTCTAGGCCCAACACAAAAACAAACATCTATAGTTATTACAACTAAAATACAAACATCAGCTGGGAAACTGATGAATTTGATAAACGATATCCTAAAAATGCATAAAGCCCTTGTTTTAAAGCATTTTATGAATTTAGGAGAAATTGAATTGATTAAACACAACTCTTGCCTGAAAACAGCATTAGGGATGTAAAAAGGCTCAGAGAATATAATTTGATGATAGACATAAGAGTAGTGTTATTGTTTAAAAGATTCTCCCTTAAGAACCTAGCTTTAGGGTTGGGGATTTAGTTTAGGGTCCCTGGGTATGGTCCTTAGTTCTGGGGGAAAACAGGAACCAAACTTCATTTTTTTATTTAAATTAGAAACTAGCTTGCTTCACATATCAATCCCAGCTCCCTCTCACTTTCCTCCTCCACCACCCCTACCAACTCTCCCAACCCCCGACTCAATCCCCACTCTACATTCCAGGAAGTATGAGGCACTTCATGGGGGATCTCCAAAGTCTGTCATATCATCCTGGGTAGGGCCTAGGCCTTCCCCCATATGTCCAGGCTGAGAGAGCATTCCTCCATGTGGAATGGGCACCCAAAGTCCATTCAGATGCCAGGGATAAATATTGATCTAGTACTGGAGGCCCTAAAGATTGCCAAAGCCTCCTCACTGACACCCATGTTCAGCGGATCTAGATCAGTCCCATGCTGGCCTCTCAGCCATCAGTCTGGGGTCTATGAGCTCCCCTTGTTCAGGTAAGCTGTTTTCTCTGGGTTTCTCCAGCATGGTCTTGACCCCTTTGCTCATCACATCTCCCTCTCTGCAACTGGTTTCCAGGAGTTCAGTTCAGTGTTTAGCTGTGGGTGTCTGTCTCTGCTTCCATCGGCCACTGAATGAAGGCTCTAGGATGGCATACAAGTTAGTCATCAATCTCATTATCAGGGGAGGGCATTTAAGGTAGCCTCTCCAAGAACCAAGCTTTATTTAGAAAAATGTTGGGGTACACAAAAGTAGTACATTAGTATGTCTGTTTGGTAAAATATGCTAAACTGTGGTAAATCATAGCTACTAAACTGAAGTCAGTTAATACTATGTTACACAAAAAGCTAGAGCAGTTACACTTGCACATACATATTTTTAAATAAAAAACTGCCTATATGAAACAGAAAAACCAAGTTAAAATTGTGTGTGTCAGAGTAAAGCTGTTGGATGATATCAGGATAGGCTAATAAAACAGCAGGCGCAAAACAGTTCTATGGGACCTAAAAAAAGATGACTGTTTTGAAATTGTTGAGGCAGAGAAGCAAAGGCGTAAGGGTGATTAGCAAGGACTGTCAGAAACCAGTTCCATAAGATATCAATCCCAAAGCCAAACTGAAGATGAAAGTGTAAGACAGGATGTGCTCAAGTTACTAGTAAGTAAGTTAATGAATGAGAGAGAGAGAGAGAGAGAGAGAGAGAGAGAGAGAGAGAGAGAGAGAGAGAGAGAGAGAGAGAGAGAGAGATAGTGCGTGCATACATGCGCACATAGGGAGATCCCAGTGTTATGTATATGAGGATATCTTTGGCGGGTATCGAAACATGACTCATGGCTGCCATAATCAAACTTAAAGATTTTTCTCATAAATTAAATATATACTTAGAATTTATATTCAAACAAATATAATAAAAATTTATAGTAGAAAAATAAAATCATATCTATAATGGTTTCCTAATTGTTATTGGTATCAAGTCTTTGCAATCTTAAGCTAGCTACTTAGGGAGATGACATGTGGTCACGACATTTTAAAAATGTGCTATTTTTTCTCATGGAAAATGTCAAATGCAAGTTATTTTAAGCAGGATAAAGCCAACTTTTTGATATCTGTAGACATCCTCTTTCTGCATGAACTGACAAAGTATGTATTAGCAAGCATCTCATTCCATTCACATGAAGTAGTGATTTCCGTTTCTTTTTGTCATTAAAAAGAGTGTAGAAAGTTTTTAATGCTGAGAAAACTCTGGGTTTTCATTAGATTATTCCTGATTTCTGTACAGTGATATTCTGCAAATTCATAAGAAAAATATGATAATTGTATCTAATTAAAATGTAATTTATAAGAGCTTATACAGTATCTTTACCACTTAATCACCTGATTAATATGACAGAAAAGATAATCTCCTGGTTTAAAAATAGCTTTATTTAGCACACTAAAACCACAGAAACATAAGAAAATTTTATCTAGTATAAACATAAAAAGTTAAATACCATAATTTAATGTAAACCAAGCATTTGCAAATGTGGAGTACTGTAATAAAATACACGCTATTTACATAACACTAAGTTAAAACTACCTCTGCAGTTACTAGATCAGATCATCAGTCTTAAAGATGTTATCATTAGCAATCAACAAATACAACATTTCCATTTTTATTGGTCAATAGGAAAAGAAGCCATCATTTTATTTATTTAAAACATATATAATTTACTGTGGCATTTAGAGCAGGGAAGTAAAAACTGCCAGTTCAAGGATTCCAGACACAAGCACTTCAGGTTGAGGTTTGAAAATCATTCTACTGGAGAAACCATGAGCAGATATTTTTATTTAAATATAAACCATTTAATTCCATTTACTTACTGATTAGAAAGATATTAAGTATATTCTGCAAAAATAAATCTTCATTAAAAATGATCAAAGACAAATGCAGTATCAATCAGGTAGTAAAGGCAAAGCATAAAAATATATATTATTCCAGATAAGCCCCTTAATTATAATAAATGTTAACAAACTCAGTTTATAAAACCAGAAGGGTTAGCAAAGGGAATTTTAAAAGGATGAGACCTAAACTGAACTCAAACACAACACAAAATATGTAAAACAAAATTTCATGAAAACATTTTGATTATTCTCTCTTCATGGAAAAGCTGCCTTGAAATTTATGGTTAGTACAGCTATTATTTACTATGAAGTAGTGTTTTCTCTAACAGTCTAAACTGGCCAATAGATCAATTTAAACATTTGGCTTTTCTTTCAAGAATCATCACTCGTTCTTATACTTTAGTGAAGGAAGTGTAAAATCCAATATTTACATTTAAAAACGTAAAATAATATTACAAGAACAAAACCTAACTTAGTGATACGATGTCCTGATTTTTGTCTAATCCTATAGTTCTTAAATTTTTGCTTTCTGGATCCCCTTAACATTCTTAGGGAAACCTAGATTCCAAAGAACTTTTGCATTTTGATATTTATATCTATCAATATTTCGCATGTTAGAAATGAACTGAAAGAATTAAAGAGCTAGCTCACCTAAAAGTTAAAATAATATATGCTGATACAAATGAATACATTTTAATGAAAAATAGCTATATTTTCTTTTTAAAAAGATGTGTGGGAAGACTGTATTGTTTTCCATTGTTCAACTCTGTTTTGAGGGAATTAGAATAAAGAGATACACAATGTCTTCAGATAAGATAAAAATATTTTGATTTCACAGATCTCCTAGAAGGCTGTCGGAGAACTCCCAGGGTTTGTGAGTGAGTCACAATTTGAAAACTACTGGCCTCATCTAAAGCCTAGTATTAATCACACACATACACACACACACACACACACACACACACACACACAAACACACACACACCCCTCCCTACAAAATAGCCTTAATTTTCAGTTCTAAACAATTCATAACTTGGCTTGCATGCTGAATCAAACATCTTTAACTTAAGATATAATTAGAAAGTAAAGATCATATAGTCAGAAAAAAATTCCAAGCAATATTGTTGTGCTGAGACCATTACCAAGATATAATATTTTTTCATCTATCAAACCAATGAACTAATTCATGTACTTAGTATAATTTCCAGCATTTCTTCATCTTACAGTGCATTGGCAAATGTATTTAAATTGGCACAGCTTTTGTACAGTCCAAATTATGTCAGAAAGTATGTAATACCCCATAGATTTAGATTAGGAAATATTAGCTGTTTATGGAGCCCACTGCTCTATTTCTCATTATGTGAAAGCTCTGATCAATTCTAGAGTAACAGGGACAAATGTCCCCCTGGAGCACAATAATAATATTGGCATATTACACTTGAATAGTTCTTCACATTGCACAAATTACTTGTACATACACCATCTCATCTGACATTTTTTTATTCTTCTGAAATAGTTTATTTTGGCATTTCATTCCCAACTAGCTCCCTCTACTCCAGGGATAAGAAGTAAAACTACTGCAGCTAAAAAAATCAATATAAAATAAAATAAAACAGCAACAATAATGAGATCTATATGGAACTAAACTAAACTTAATGTGCATCTACTATAGCAGATACTGTGTAATCATCTTCCATCAACACAAAAGTCAAAAGTTATAATTGAATGGAAAATTGTATACTAATAATTTTGAGAATAAGATTTCAGACTGTATAAAACATTAAGAAAATAATTCAAAAATTTGTTTTTGATAAACTCTTGAGTACACGAAGAGTCTATTGTAGCAATGAGAAAATTAAAATTAGTGTAAAAGAAAAAATTGTTGCCCACTACCCAATGAGTAAAGGAGTAGGCAATATCTACTCCCTGCCATTAACACATACTTTATTCCACTACTTAGAAATTCTTAGAAACAAGATAGTAATATGAGTGGCATGAAACATTCAAAAGATGCTAGCAAATTTAATGGGACGATGTGTGGTAATCAGTCAAGAAGAAATACCCTAGTACAAAATGAGCTAAATGCTACTAATGATCATTGATTTCCTTGCTATATACTGCAGTCTCTGTTTGTCTCTCTGTGTGAGATGTCTCTAAACTTGAAAATGAATCCAAGTATATTTTTTCTTTCAAGAAATGGGAGGTTAACCAACATCTATAATAGTTAGAAAATACTGCCTGTTATTGACTATCACATAAACTGTAGGTGTCCCCCTACTTTTTGAATTTTGGTAGTTAATGATGTCTTTATGGGTGGTGTGGTAGAAGTTAGTTAATTTTACAAGAGTTATACACATACTGGATGATGCACATGTGGAGATACATATATATGTCAATGTATATGTGTGTGTATATATATATACACACACACACAAACACATATTTGTAAAGGCATATGAATTCTGTCAAAATACATAAAGACATTCACTAGCAAGTCTTTCCTTCATGTTTCCTCTCATAAAAATGAACATTGATAATGTTTTTATAATAAGAAAAACTAAAGAAAAATCAACCAGTAAATGTGAAGTAGTATGCTGTAAGAGTCTAATAAAATAAGTCAATGCACATTTATGTAGTGGTAAAGTGCTACAAAGTTCTTCCATTAGTATTTTAGAAATGATTAGAGTAAAAATAGGTTTGCAGCTTCATTTGATGGTGGTGACCACAGGCACCATAGCAATGGCAGTAGCTGAGCTGGAGTTGACTATGTCCTCATATTCTGGTGGTGGGTCTAAATGAGGTTCTGTTTCACTCCTTCTCAAGTTCACCTGGCCAGTGGCTTCCTCATAGGTCGGAGGGGGATCACAGTTGGAAAGGCGAGTAGAGACAGAATCTGAGCGCCCAACAACATATTCCAAAAAGCCTGGAGACAATCCACTGTTATCAAAGACTTCATCTGGTGGAGGAGGTGGAGTAATAATGTTAAGGTGTTGAGGGAAAGGAATGTGGCTTTCAGTTACTGTCTGTCTCCTAGTTTTGTTTCTTAGAAAGCATCTCCAGATTAAGAAGATGACAAGGAGAATAATGAAGAGGCCAAAGATTAATGGAAAAGTTAGATAAAATTGGAACCAGTCACTTCCTCTATTGGTCTCTCCTTGTTGTGCGTTTGTGTAGGTGCTCCAAAACTCTTTCTGAAAAATACAAAATAAAATAAATAGGAGAAAAATGAGTATGGTCAAAATACGCTAAGTATGAACAAATACCTAAGTTCTGATATTGACAAAAACCCAGAATCAGATGTATTGGTTCAAGTGATATAGCCTTATTTACCATACTAGCCAAAAAAAAATACAGAAGCCCCTCATTAGAATGGAGTTATTCCCAAAGAAACTAATTATCAATTGAAAACATCATTACTTTTCTGAATTTAATAATCTTAACTACCAAGCACCATAGTTTATAGGTAAATGCACTGAAGTTTCAGGTCTCTTATGGTTGCATGGCTGACAGAATTTAGGAAGAGCTTAAGCTCTATGAGCTGATAACGATCTGTAAAGGGTGATTTACTGACAAGGTAAAGCTCAACATTCAAAAACTGAAATACAGTATCTACTGAATACATATCACTTCTACACCACTGTAATACTGAAAAATTTTAAGTGGAACCATCATTGGTCAGGGATTATCTATATATAGATCACCATATTCTGGGTGCAGCCTATAACAGTCATAACTCAAAGCTCTATAATACTTAAAGTTAATTCATTTTTAGCTGTAGTGTTTTAAAAATGTAAGAATTATACAATTGGAAGAGAATCAGAGTATAGATGTGATGTTTTAGAGTGAAAATTAAAGGACTATGGAGATGAATCAGTAGATGAAGTTCTTGTTGTGCAAGCTTGAGGACCTGAGTTCAATCTCTAGCACACCTGGACACAAAGAACATGTACACATACATACAATTAAGAACTGAGCTTTTCTTTTAACAAATCATTTACCCTTACAAATATAAGCCAAGGGTTAAGGATGTTTTAGAGTACTTGTAATATAGATATGCATATAAATGTAAGCACATATACACATGTGATTTTGAAATGTCAGTCTCCATATCCAAATATGAAATTCTCATTATACAAGTCCCATCATGATTAATAATATGTGCTGGCTAAGGCCAGTGAAGGCTTTTAGTACCCAACCATTCAGCAAACTAACACCTTGTTTCCTAATGGTTCTGTTTAGGAGACCCACCAGATGTTCCTCCTCTTCATCCACCTTACCAAATGCAATGTGTTATATATACACAGATGTTAAATGTGACAAAATATATATTATTCCCACAAAAGGCATCAGGGTAGTCTTGAAATTGTGTCTCTGTATTCTGGAACCTAGAAATTAAGTTACAAATGAAAAAATATCTAGTATGTGAAGCATTTAATGTTTGTTGGGATATATCAGAACATAGCAAAGAAACTGAATGTTATATGTGATCATAGTCTTCTTGAGCTTTAATGTCTTCATCTGCAAAGTGGGGTAATACAAGTTGTCTAAACATTGAATGAGATAGCACATCACATCTAATTGAGTTTCTGAAATATAAACTGTGAACAGTCATGATTATAATTGATTTTATGTCTACTTAAGCTTCTGGTTCTCTCTATCATTTGATACAGGGACCACTTTTTAATGTCATTGACTTCCTTGTCCTTATTTTCTTCATTGGTCACTCTTGTGTTGTCATTGAGAAGAAATTCAAAGAAAAAGAATTTAAAAGGAAGAAAGCATGTTTTGGCTTTTGGTTTCAGAACCTTCAGCTCATTGTCGCTGGCTCCATTGTTTCTGGACCTCTGCTGAGGCAGTACATCATAATGGCGGGTATGGTGCTACAGAGTTTCTCACCTTATGGCCCTGAGAAGCAAATAGGAATTGAGGAAATTTCCTAGCACCAATCATAGCTTCCAAGAATATGCCCACAAAGGAGACCTACTTCCTCCTATGGAGTTTTACTTTGCAAAAGTTCTACAAATATTTCAATAATATGAATTTACCAACAGATCATTCCATTGATTAGGTCAAAAACCTGATGATCCAACACTTCTTTTAAAAAATATGTCGTGTGTGTGTGTGTGTGTGTGTGTGTGTGTGTGTGTGTGTGTGTGGGTGTGTATGTGTGTGGGTGTGGGTGTGTGTGTGGGTGTACCCATGCCACATCATGTATGTGAAGTCAGAGGACAATTTTTAGAAATAAGTTCTCTCCTGTCATGTGATTCCTGGGGATTGAATTCAGGTCACAAGGCATGGCAGCAAGTGCCTTTAACCACTGAGTCATCTCACTGTCACCTAATCACGTCTTTGTGATTGGCTCTACTAGGTGAGGATCAAGTGTTCAACATATTAACCATCTGAGAGTTATTTCATATCTAAATTGTAACTTTTTTGTACTGATGTATTCAGTATATTTACTACACGTATCTGGGATTTCAAACTCAGACATACCATGGTTTTACAAACTTTACATAAAATACCAAATCTTCCAAAGAAGGATCCCAGGCTCTAATACTGGATGATTCACAATTTTATACAGCTTCCAAAGTATTTGTTGACATAGTAATGATTCAAAATGATATCTCTTCTTAGGTACATGGCTACTGCAAACCTTTGTGATTCTAAGATTAACTTGAATATATTATGAAAAATATATTATTTCCTAAATGTCATATAAATACTCATAATTAATTTCACTTAAAAATCAGAAGGGAGATTGGAAAGTTACCTCAGTGGTTAGGAGCATTTTTTGATCTTATAGAGGACTGGGACTTGGTTCCTGGTATTCATATAGTACCTTAAAGCCTACCTCGATTCCAGTTCCAGAGTACATGATACCTTTTTCTGAACTCTAAAGGCATCAGGCATAGACATGGAGCATAAACGTGTATATAGAGAAAGCATTCATACACATAAAACAAAATAAATATATCTAAAATAGCTTTTTTTATCAGGATGCCGGTGCTGCTGCTGCTGGTCATATTGATGTGAGTGACCTGCTTTGCCACCTGAGGCTATGGTGATACCCAAATCCAAGCTGCTGCCAAGGGCCATGTCTGGATCTGAGGTCCTATTGTGGCTGAGGTCTGTGGTGATGTCCTAGTCCTGTGTGACCATCAAAGGCCATGTGGATGACTGTGGTCTGTGCTGAAGCATGAGGCCATGCTGATGTCTGTGGGCCCTGGTGGCCTGTACTGCACCCGAGGCCAAGTTGATGTCTGTGGTCCAGCCTGTCTCTGAGGGCCCTGTCTGAATCCATGGTCCTACTGCTGCTGGAGCTGTGCTGTCATCAGAAAATACGTGGAATCCCATGACCCACACTCCTGCCCACAGTAAAAAATATGTTTGCAGTGATATAGATGATTGCAGAATCACATTTGAGGGGGGATGGGGAAGGCTTCTGTGAAAACCACTACCCCCACTCTAACCCCTCCTTCTCCCCAAAAAGAAGGGTAACAACCTAAATAGGAAGCCATTAAAGAGAACTGTTAGGAAGTGTTCTAAGGATGCTGAGGTTGGCTCTCCCCCAATTGATGGCTTTTGGTGGGGGTGGGGGAAGGGTAATGAGACTCAGTCTATTTAAGTGGCAGGCCATTGAGAGTTTGACCATGCTCCAGTAGGTTTATAGATAACACAAATTGGACTTGTTTTTCTTTATTTTTTGAGTTTTCTTTTTATTTGGGGGGGTGTCACAAGAGAGTGGGTATGGACATGAAAGGACTGGGAAATAAGTGTGATCAGGGTACATGACGCAAAATTTCCAATGAGTCATTAAAATATTAAAAAAAAAAACCCGAAGGCTGGAGACAAGACTCAGCAGTTAAGAGCACTTGCTGCTCTTCCAGAGGACTTGGATTCAGTTCTCAGCAACCCATGACAGCTCACAATGGTCCACACCTGCAATTCCAGGAGATCAATCACCTTTTACTGGCCTCCTTGGGTACTGCACATAAGTTGTGTACATATACTCATGGAGGTAAGAACTTAAGACAGGTAAAACAAAAATAAATAATAAACAGTAAGAAATTAGGAGGGACTCCCCAAGGTTAAAAAATGAACAATATTAGAAAATATATGCTAGCCAGGCATGGTAATGCATATCTTTATTATCAGTACTCCAGCAACAGTGACAGGAGGATCCAGCCTGATCTAAATAGTGTGTTCTAGGACAGCTAGAACTACACAGAGAGACCCACTCACTTTCAAAAAAAAGATAAAAAGAAAGAAGAAAGAGAGAGAGAGAGAGAGAGAGAGAGAGAGAGAGAGAGAGAGAGAGAGAAGAGAGGAAGGAAGGAAGGAAGAAAGGAAGGAAGGAAGGAAGAAAGGAAAAGTAGTCCACATATATATCCAGATAATCCAGACACAGTATTTTAGAAAATCCTAATATTGTTCCGGGCTCATGTTCCAGTGCCTGGGGACTGCCACTGAGTCTCCCCTCCCAGTGGGAGCCAACACACCCTAACTTGCTGGTCTTCGTCTCCAACCACGGGGCCACGCAAACCGAGGCCTATTTCTAGGTACTCATTCCAGTGCCTGGGGGACTGCCAGTGAGTCTCCCCTCCCAGTAGCAGACAACACACCCCAGCTTCCTGGACTTCTTCTCCACCCATGGGACCAGGTAAACTGGGACCTGTTTCTGGGCAGAGTTCCTGTCCCTGGGAGTTGCCACTAAAGCTCCCACCCCGGCCGCAGTCAACACACCCCAGCATCCTAGTCTCCTTCTCCACCCACAGGACCAGGACTAGGACCAGGAAGAGGAGAACTACCAGAGTAATGGACTTGCTTGCACCCACCAAAATGGAATCCTAGTCCCCTATCCACCAGGTGAGGAAGAGGCTCATTCTGCACTCACTGGAAGAAGGGTTGTGAAGGAGACAATACAAAAACACACTCAGCAACAGAAAAGCAAGTAGGATACCCCCAGAGTCTAGAGACTCTACATCAACAAGATTTAAATATTCCAATGCAAATGAAGCAGAAGAGAATGACCTTAAATACAACTTCATGAAAATGATAGAGGCCCTCGAAGAGGATAAGGGAAAATCCCTTAAAGTGATGGAAGAAAAAGCAAACCAAAAACAGCAAGAAGAAAAAAACAAGCCAAAAAATCAGAAAACAAATGCAAGAAATGGAGGAAAAGACAAACCAA